GAGATTCCAAAGGACAGCTTGAGAGGACAGAGTTAAGTATGGAAATGAAATGTGCAGAGACCTGGAATTGGAAAATCAAAGGGGAAGAACATGCTAAACATTTTTCCTGCTGAAAGAACTGAAGGGAAAAAAAAAAAACAAGCATCAAGTTGTGATACTGAAGAATACTTTGGGGGAGAGAAAAACTGAGCAATTCAGAAAGCATCAAAAAAAAAAAAAAATGGAAGGCATACAGAAAGTCACTGTACCAAAAAGAATTGGTCGATGCTCAACCGTTTCATGAGGTAGCATATGATTAATAACCAATGGTATTGAAGGAAGAAGTCAAAGCTGCACTGAAAGAATTGGTGAAAAACAAGGCTCCAGAAATTGAAGGAATGCTAATATGTTTCAGCAAACATATGTAGAATTGGAGGAGCTCACTCATTTATTTTGAGGAATTTGGAAAACAGATACTTGGCCAACTGATTGGAAGAGTTCCATATTTCTTCCTATTCCATGGAAAAGTGATCCAAGAGAATGCAGAAATTATTGAACCATATCATTAGTATCACATGCATGTCAAATTTTGCTGAAGATAATTCAAAAATGGTGGCAGTAGTGTACTGATAAGAAACTGCCAGAACTTCAAGCTGGATTCAGAAGAGGATATTGAATGAGCTATGTCATTGCTGATGTCAGATGGATCTTGGCTGACAGCAAACAATACCAGAAAGATGTGGACCTGTGCTTTACTGATTCTGCAAAGGCATGTGATGGTGTTCTGCTGTTGTCAGGTGCCATCAAGTTAATTCTGACTCGTAGTGACCCTATGTACATGTGTCCAACAGAACAAAACACTGCCCAGGCCTGTGCCATCTTCACAATACTTAATGTGCTTACTTAATAGCTTAAGTAATGTGCTATTAAGTAAGCTCCTAAGCTTCATAGCTTCCTTTAGCACATTAATTATGTGCAATAGCTGATTTTATGGTGGTTTTTCTGGGTGGTTATTTTTTTTCCCACTCCAAATTGAAAGCAAGTATACATGCTGTGTCCTTTTTTTGTTTGTTTGTTTGGTTGGTTGGTTGGTTTGGTTTACTTTTCCTTTTTTTTTTTTAATAAAAGAAACTATGAATAGTATGTTATGTAACCCATGCCAAGTTTGACTTTTAGAATGGTCAGTGTGTTATGGACGAGTAAGTGGAGAACAAGGTTTCAGAGGAGAGAGGCAGGGGTTCTGGCTAGAATCTCAAGAGTTGTGAAACAGAGACTCCAGTGCAAAGATCTAAATTGCAAGCATCTGAACTCCAGCTCACAAAGGACGTTCAGGTTATGAAATTTACATACTGACAAACTGAACTCTAGAAATCAAACCTAGGCAGAGTCAGGACAGCAGGTATGGTGGAGGCAGCTGGCATGAATTTTATACTGAAGTAAATTCTTCTGGAGTAAGAGATCCTAATGAACTTTCTACCCAGGATGAGGGTCAAGGAAGTAAACAGTATGAGTGAAATATCGCAAAGGCAGGCGTCAAGCCATGCTTCAGCTACTGGAAGAATAAATTACCAGAATGTGTGTAAGTCCCCCTCCCTGTTCCCCAGTGCTTGTAGTTTTCTTTTGTCCCTTAATTGGTAAATGAGTTTCTTCTTAATTTAACATTCTGAACTAGACACATTTAGTTGTGAGAGCTTTTAGAAAGTCTTTTAAATCTTCAGTATGTAGCAGAGCTTAATATTTTGAAGTTCTTTGTACTTTTCCCTCCTCCTTAACATATGTTCCTGTCCAAGCCTTCATTCTAAGTTCTTTAACTATATATACTCTAGGATTTAGGTATTATGCTCAACTGCAATAATTGTGAAAATGAATTTTAACATATATATACCAATAAATTGAAATAATTTTTTTTTTTAATAATTATGCTAAGCTTTTTGAAGGAGCTTTGGTGGCATCATCGTTAAAGCAGTTTGCTGCTGATCAGAAGATTGGAGGTTCTAACCCACCAGCCACTCTGTAGGAGAAAGATGAGGGAGGGAGTCTGCTTCTCTAAGTATTTGCAAACTTGGAAATGCTATGGGACAGTTCTACTCTGTCCTAAAGGATCACTATGGGTTGGAATCAACTAGATGCTGGCAGTGAGGCTTTTTTGTTTGTTTATTTTTCTTTTTGTCCTATGAATTATTAGGCTCTGAACTTATAAATATTTTTTATTGATGGAATTTGAAGGATTTTGCTAATGTGAACAAAAAGCTAAAGAAAAATAGTTGAAATGTATAGAAGGAATTTTTCTGAATTATGAAATATTCAATATTTGTGGCTCATATCTTGATTATAATTTAATTCTCTTTAAATTGCTTTGTTTCTAGAACAGAAGTATTACAATTTTTTTTTTTTTTTTTTTTTTTTACTTTCCTCTTCTAAACCAACTGAATCACTAAGCACATCAAGTGTATCATGGTGTAAACGATTACTGTTTTAATCTATGTTTAATTTTGCCTTTAACATGCACTACAAGTGCATAGACCATTCTTGTCTTGTTTGTTGTATATTCCTAGAATCTAGTGCATAGATCCTCAATTAATACTTAATGAAGAAATGAATGAATATGTGTTTCACTGGATCCTACTTTATATTGTTTATTTCCTCTTGATATTCTAATTGCAGTAAAATTGACCTTTCAAGTCTTTTAGTTGGAAAATTATTATTTTACTTTAGTTACAAGGTACTTGGCAATGAAATATTGTTTCAGATATTTTTCTGTGGAATTAACTATCAGAGATTGAACCGAGAAGATAAATTTTCATAATATGTTTTTCATAATTACTTTAAAGTCACAAAAATAACTAGAAAGAACCAATTAGTATGAAAGTGTGGTAAAACCTATTTTGTTTGTGGCCAGTTTGCATATCATGAATATTAATTGCATTTGCTTGTTCTTGTTTATTTCTGGTTATGATCAATGTGAAGTGATTAATCCTAGGGAATTTTGTTTCCACACTCATATTTGAGTTATGAAGAACTTTCTTGTTTTTTTTTTTTTTTTGCTCTTGTTTTCTTATGATATGTATAGTCATAAATATTTGTTATTATTTATTATATAAATAAATGATTTCCCCAAAAAAATTAACCAAGGGATTATGTTTATAACAAGGGTTCTGCTTTCTAAATTCTTTTAAGTGGCTGTTTTATATCTTTCAGAAACTATAACTGCATATGTATAATTGTGTCACCTAAAAATTTCACCAAGAAATTGATCACAGGCCTAATCTTGGTATAGTGCTCAGCCATATGTTTTTTGTGTATATTATCCAATATAATCACCTCAGCAGTAGTACAGATTATTGTTTCATAGGAGAAGCAGAGCCTGACACCTTAATGACAATATCATAGCTAGTTGACTTCAGATTCCTTTTTCTTTCAACTGTTCTTCACTTCTCAAAGGCAGTTAATTAGGCAGTCGAATACCTACTCTGGATATTGGAAGACAGTTTTAGACTGGAGATATAAATTGGTAAAGTCATACATGATGAAATTCAATACAAATTTGTTCTCTCCAAAAAGTGTTTTTTAATAGAATTATCAAACTGATTTGTAAGGAGGGGACATACATATAGTATTGCAGATGAAATATAGTAGTCAGATGCTCAGTCTTAGCAATTTTGCCTTTCTTACCTTTTTCTGATTTGAATTTATAAGATTTACTCAAATGCATTAAGAATGGCTGGTTTCCTGTGTCAGAATCATATACACACACACACACACACACACACACACACACACACACATATAGGAGCTCTGGTAGCATAGTGCCTAAGGCACTTGACTGCTAACCAGAA